AAAGCTTTTTGCAACATTCTTCAAACATTTTCTGCAACCAAAGAACATGGTCATGTATCTGTCATTGCTGATGGAAAATATCAGTCACACACATTCAGTCAAAATGTTGACAATTAATGTTCCAAAGTCCTATCAAACTTTCACACCCCAACATCATGGCACAATAAAACATATTGAAGAAACTATCAAAGAAGGAAAAGATTTCTGAAAAGAGTAAGCAGATTTCCAGTTCAAACAGCAGCATACTGGAAAAAAGACAAAAAAGCCAAATTATAACATGTAGGCCTACTTTGCCTTTACTGGGACAGAACGAAAAAGCGGCCACCTTGCAGAAATTCTCAAGTCATCGCTCACTCTTAATGAGTGTCAGGGACACGCACAAAAAAACAATTTTCATACCCCCAAGTATTCACAACAAACAGGAGAGGAATGTAACCAGATTCATCATATATTGATCATACACACTATAACAGACGTGAAAGATTTCAGAAAAAAAATCTAATTAGTCTGACAAGCATGTGATATGCTAAGGCTAAAGGAAGGACAACAACAGAAACAAACAATAAAACCCAAACCCACCAACATGCTGAACCAAAAATAAGTTGTTTTTTTTAAATTCAGTAAATTAACAACATGACACCATACAGCTATTATCATATATTAATTATCATATATACTATCTATATTTTAAAAAATTGGGAGGTGTCAAAGACAATCAGATGTATGACAAGTTGCAATGAAAAGAGATTCAGATTAGATCTATTCCCTCTGGTGATCCAAAGGTTTAGTGAAAAGAATCTTTGTAAATTTCCTAAGTAGCAAGCCACCAACACCAACACTCAAAAGTCAAAGAGATCAAATTTGCAGGGCTAATCTGAATCACACCTTCTATGGTAATTGACAAGTGAGCATCAACCCCCCCTATACTTCACTACACAACAGTGCAATGGGGAGGACAACAAATGTACAGTTTTTAACAACGCATAGAGGCTGTCTCAATTTTAAAAATTAAGACACCATAGTGGTGATAAAGAGCAGGCCTCTAAGCCTATGTATCTAATTCCAAACCAGACAGCAGTAAAACTGACAAACAGTACCTCAAAATCTCACATCAGACTTGTGGTACACTGTATTATGATCAGAAAGTAGACAACTTCAAAAACAGTACAAAAATAATGACTATCTATAGTAGGGCCTATAGTATTTATAGGCTTTCGTGTGAACTTAAGACATACAGTACGAAGCATGTTTGCATTGACAGTGAACTAGATTCAATATTTCCTAACGCTTGATAATTTTTTTATAAAAGGAAGAAAAAAATAATAGCCACCTGATCACTTCAAAGTTCATTCTCTTTCACTCATGACGTTAACAAAGTTGGCGTAGGCCTACACATAATACAACAAAGTCAACAGCCTCACCTTTTTTTTACATGACCACACTATACTCTTGACCACGTCAGTCATGCAATTTAATTATGGAGTATGAATGAGCAATTGAACAAACGATTACAGTGAGTGAGCAATAATATCATCGCTGATAAAAGAGATCTTTGTGCCTACAAGGCAGTAATATTTAAAGTTCAAAAGACCTACAATAGAATGCCACAGTCGTTCCAAACCAAACCTCAGGATACAAAACTCACAATGTTCTTAAACCATAATGTACAATGCATAACAAAGCACCACAAATTTATCCATAAATCTGTAGTAGTAGCAGGCCTACATGTAGTAGTAGTGGGGGAGGGGGAATGACACGACTGTGAAATTCTGGTCTCAATTTCTCAACAAAACTTCCTTCCATCATATTACAACAAACCAAACACACTCACACTTGGCATTATAATAATGCTGTGAACTTTGTATGACAAGCAAACTAGCACATCGTGACATCTACATACATCACTTCGATGTTGGGGTAGTGTTCAGCATGTAGACAATCAATGGCTAAACAACAAGATGATGCTTCTGAAAATGTTCACTGAGAGATATCAAGGAGCTAAAACATGACTTGTAAAGACAAATCTTGAGTCAAACAGGTGATCAAGATAAATATTTGCTCTGCCTAGCAAAAAAAAAGTTGATACCGTAACTTTTTTCACTCCAACAAGACCCCCACTGTTTTTCCTACATGGCTTGGTTGAGTTTTAAGTAAGCTTTCAAAAATGGCTGTAGGCATGATAACTCACAAATAATGCTCTAATTTTAAATAAATGCTTCCTTTCTGTTTCATTCATGGTCTACATCATGTAAGCAACACTGGTCAAATTGTTCTTGGACATGACATGCCAGCCAAAATGATAAAATGAACAGAGAAAAAAAAGTGAAACGAAGATTCATCCAACAGGTAACAAATAGCATAAGTCAGCAGTAAAAAAAAGGCATAAAAAATTACACAAAACATTCATGTACAAAGTAGCGGGGGGGGGGGGGGGGGGGAGAGGAGGAAGCTACTCTTTCTATGTTCAGTGATCAGGAAAACAATTCATTTACATTGCAATACAAAACTTGGCAGGATTCTTTTCTGTCTCACTAAATCTAAAAAAAAGTCACCTTTCGACTGCACAAACACACAAGACCAACAGTCATACACAAATACACTGTTGGGTTTTTACAAGCATTGACTCATTGACAATACAAACACAAGTTTTCAGTTGGCCCATTTTTGAAGAAAAAGAATAGCAGTACGTGTATACAGTAGTAAGACAACGTGGAGGTGTGTTGGTAGTGTGGATTCAGTAGGGGTTAGAGGCAGCACTTGTTTAAATCAGTTTTTTCCAAAATAATTTTCTTTCATTGATCCATAGGAATAGAAAGAAAAACTGCTTTCTTTAACAACTTTACCATAATAACCATGGCAGACAGAGGACAATGTTGAAAAAAGGATGCAGTTTAATTTTTTTAACAGGATCAGTGCATGCACAACAATATGTACAGGGCTTATTTTAGAAAGAAGAACGTACCAATCCCTGTACATGTAACGTAAGCTACCAAAACTTTTAGATCTAAATCTATACACGATCTTTGAAGCTACATTAACTGTCACACCTTGGAAGAAACAAGCGTAACGCTAGGCTACCAAGGTACGAGCATTCTTCACTCTGCTGGGGTCACGACCCCTCCCACTCCAGTCATGCCATGCTAAATATAGAACTAGAAAACCGGGACATTGAGGTATGTCGTCATCATCGGGCACGGCAAACCCAACCGCTGCTAGCCTACAGAAACAGGGAAGGGAAGGGGGAGCGCAAGGAAAAACTGCAAGGGGAGTTTGATTTTATCAGCATATGGACCAATCCAGAGAACAATTTTGAAGATCTATAATCATGACTACCAATGACAGAAAAAACCCAGAAACACTACAGTTCTTCACCATCTTACAGATAAAAGGACTTGCCAATTTTAATTTACAATTCATGCTTTATAGAGCAGTTTGAAAGGTTTTTTCCAATGACAAGCAATGCCCCCTTTTGAATAAATTTTGCCAGAGTAAAAAGGAAATAGAAGCTTCAACTAGTAGTTTTAAGTTTTAGGGTGTGCATATCACATGACGCAAAGGATTAACAGAGTTCAAAACATGTGTGCATTTGATATGTTCAGAGTTTGGATCCTTTTGTCCAGAGTGGGTAAACTGAAACCACTGCCACTGTATCACTTTTCAAACAATCAGGAACCTCAGGTAGAATGAGAAGGAAACTGAATAAAAACGAATAAAAAAGTTGGAGACAGGGGGAATTTAAAGAGCTTACAAAATTACAATATTTACTCTAAACTTAACTCATATTAAGTAGACTAGAGGTAGTAGGCTACATAGTGTTTACAGTGTATTGATTATTCCCTGCCTAGCAACAGGGCCCAGCCATAGTGGACTGTGCTGAACATACACTGTGACATGTTACACATGAATGGGCATTGAGAGGGCTCTCTTCTCTCTAAGCATTTCTGGTCAAAGGCATCAAAAATCACATTGGAGCATAACAGAAAAGGGAATGGCAGGCCTATTTTATCCTAGACATCAGTCCTACTTGCTACTGGATCAAGAACCTGGGCTATCTTTGCAGTAATATATATATATACAGATCTAGATCTAGATCTAGATCTAGATCTAGATTTTTAAAAATAATTAATTGGATCTACTGAATATAGAATAATACTAGATTCTAGATTTAGATCTAGATGTAGATCTAGATTTAATAGTTAATAGAGAGATCTTCTAAAGAAGTTTTGAATGATACAAATAGGCTATAAATCTTTTCTTTAAGCGGATCTAATCTAAATTAGATCTAGAATCTAGAACGCTTCACTTACAAATGCCTTGGGCTTAGGACAATACAACCTTTCCTTTTGTCTTAAATAGCAAGTGTCCAGAAACTGAATCAGCATTGTTACTCATTGTACAATAACTTACTCAAACAAGTAACTTCACACTGCCAGGATCTAAAAAGAAATAGGCTAGATTTTGTGTGAAATAAGCTAGAAAATTCACAACCAACAACCATCCTCACACTTCAGAACTCACAGAAATCACATCTTTGATGGATGTACAGAGAAGGACGATTTACATACATCATACATTCTTTGAAATTACAGCACGTTTTCTTAGTTAAGATTATTTAAAGACTAGAACAAATATGTTTCCATTCTGCCATAGCCATAACATATTGCACCTTGCTTCGTTCCATGTCCGTAACATTTTCACATAGCAGGCCTCGAATCTTTCACACGAACAACAGTAAGAGAAAACATACACTATCGACAGGAGACCTTGCGGCTGGCTGCTCCAGATGCTCGGCAAAACACACAAAAAAAGTGAATATCATTGAAGTCTGTCCGAGAGCGCTTCGTTCATGGCACCTCAAGTCCAATTCAAAATAACTTCTCTTGACATTGTCGCTGATTGTTCCAATACAAACGGAAAAGTTTAGTAATGTCTTGTGAGCCTTAGATCTATGTACAAGATGAAAGGAAGGTGGTGTGGATGAGACGAGTTAATGTCAAGCATCACATGTTAAATGAGGAAACTGATGATACACCATTCTGCGCTGACGTGACTTCTTTTTCGTATCTCGTGCTCAGGTATTTTGCGGTTTCCGTCATCTGATGCAACAGTCCAAACAAACCTCTGAGGTGATATCTGAAAGAAGCTGCAGTTTTACGTGCACTTTCGTTGATTGGGTCATCATTAGAATTTTCATCATTACATGCTGAGGCGTTATCGCACTGTTCCTCTTCATTTGAATTCTGAGGTCCTGCCGTAATTTCTGACCGTATTGCGTGAAGCATTGCATAAAAGTGGTACAAATCACCATTCATGCCAAGGGCTGGAACAACTGCTTTATTGTTGTTATTCTCTTCCAAAACATTGGGTAATGAATCGACAGGCATGTCTCGCAGCCGACATGGAATCATGACTGTGTCATCCATAGTATCCACTGCTTGAACGAAGCGATTGATCGCAGTCAACAGCGACTGCTGGCTATCGAGAGCGATGCTCGACCTCTTATTATTATTATTATTCATACCTGACATCTTGAGAACTTTGAAAACACAGCAATTGAACACAAGCTGAGGATCTTGATCAGATTTTCAAATACCGGTACGCCAGAAGAAGTAGCCTAGATCTCGTCAACACAATTTGGACACTCAGTCTTCCACGGACGCTTTTTACTTCGTCACTCAGCAGTCGCCGGCATGAACTGCATAGAAAATGAGGAGTGGTAAGTCTGGAGATCCGTGGGGTTACTAGTCTACACTCAGTTAAACGTCTAAGCGAGTTTTCAACAAATTGTTCGTCAAAAGGAAAAAACTTTGAAGATCTTCGGTCACAAACTGGATTCAAATGATGCTAGCAATGTTATCCTGGTTTTATACCTGCCAAAGATTCTCGATGAAGCCACTGCTACTCTCTGACCCCCACTGAAAAATGAACTACGCTGTTGAAAACATTCGAGGTAACGGAGGGTCAAAATACTACGTTCTGATTGGCTGCATAGGATCAGGAGCGATGGGAGTGATTTCCAAGGACGCTTTGCCTTGTAGTCATGCGAATGCTTCGAGGTGTGGGTGTAGGCCTAGTGGACTGGACTGACTGCGCCCGCAACACACGCACGAGAGGGTGACTTAACTTTGACAGTGCTTTGTACCATTGTACTGACCGCCACTGCAAGTTTGAGCCTAGGCCAGGGAGAAAAGGTGATGCAAGTACCACACATGACGTGAAGAACCCGCCCCATGTCTGTCTCAACCCCCCC